ACCATTTTTATGTATATTGGGATGGGCCCGTTCTATGTATATTAGGCTGGGTCTATTTGCATGTATGGTGGGTAGGGCCCATTTGCATGTTAGGCTGGACCAATTTATATGTATGTTGGGTTGGACCTATTGTATGTTGGGCTGCACGCATTTGTATGACATGTGGTATTTTGGGAAACTCATTAAACTTTGTGCTTACGATTTTGTGGTTTGAATATTTTCAGCAACTTCTAGTTCCAAAGGGAATGGTTCGGCTTGACTATACAACATTTTCCACCGAGGATTTTTTGCATTAGCGATTGATATTGTACTCTGATGTTTATGATAAATTTTTACTATGATGGATTTTTGCGACAAATACTATATGATTTGATAAATTAAAAATGAAAAAATTAATTTATATTTTAGGATGCTATATCATCTTCTTTCCAGAGAAAAAAATCAAATAAAATAATCAAACCCACAAATAGGAAAGCGAAAACAAGTAAGAGCCACAAACACAAAAGAAAAAATAAAACAAGAAATTAATTATGGTTTGAGTTTTTGGAAAGAACAAACTCAAACTACCTTCTACAAAAATCAAATCAAAATCAAAAGTTGGACCAAACCTACAACATAAACCAAAGCACAGGGACCATTTCTGTAATTCACTCTATGAAGTACCATATCTGTAATTTACTCTCGGAAGTATCAACCACTGTGACCAATCTCTCCTCTATATATATCGATGGTGAGACATCACATTTTTTAGGAGTTAGAGATGTCGGAAGTAGCTACTCCATTGATAGCCGAAGCGGAGGCCAGTGGTGGTGGAAATGATAGTTGCTTGTGGTGGAAGAAGGTATTGGATTGGGAAGAGGCTAAGCATCAGATCTTATTTTCCCTCCCAATGATTCTAACCAATGTTGCCTACTATTGCATACCATTAATCTCCGTCATGTTCGCCGGCCACCTCGGAGAAGCTGAGCTCGCCGCCTCTAACCTCGCTAACTCCTGGGCCACCGTCACCGGACTCTCTTTCATGGTTAGTCGCTACTCCTCTGTCACTCCCAATTAGTATTTACAAATTTACTTCTTAAACCTAACCTACACATCCATGGCGTCATTCCCTGAATCTTTCAATTTCCAATTGTTCGTATTAATGTGTGGAAGAGCTTCATCCTCAAAATTTATTCCCTAATTCGTAAAATTTGAAAGGGATTGGTGTAGTTATATTGAACAGACATTAATGATTACGAATCCAAGAAAACGATATATATCTGTTAGAATTTGTGTATTGATGAGATTCTGCAATTGGGGTATTCAAATATTCACTTATCGAATCACATGTTCTTAGTAAACAACCAAAAGTAGAAACTATTTGTTCTTTAATAAAAACTAAAAAGTGGTTTTACTCATAAGTTAACTACTTATTTGTAATTGTCCCCACGTTTTAATGTTGTTTGTTTTTATTTTGAGTAAATTACACGAATGGTCCCTACGGTTTAGGGTAATTTGTGTGTTTGGTCCTTAACTTATTTTTTGAACTCAAAAGTTACTTACTATTTGTTTTTGTTGTGCGTTTGGTCTATGTCTTACCTAAAAAAACTATTTTGCCCTTGATTTTTTAATTTATGTAAATTAACACACCCCCAACTCCAGCTCATCTTATGTTACCTAAAAAAACTATTTTAATTTATTTAAATAAGAGCATAATAGTCCTTTTAGTTAAGACAGAAACCAAGTGCGTAACAAAAACAAACAGTAAGGACCTTCCGAGTTAAAAAAATAAGTTAGAGACCAAACACGTAAATTATCCCAAACCATAAGGATCATTCATGTAATTTACTTTTTTATTTTATATGGAGTAAGATCCGTGTGAGTTTTCCATACTATGAATTCAACAAATGACACCTAAAGTACAAATGTCACTTTATCCAAATTGTCTTTTTGCATCCATTTTTTATTTCTTATTTTTTCTCAGGTGGGCCTAAGCGGGGCACTAGAGACATTATGTGGGCAAGGATTTGGAGCAAAAATTTACCAAATGCTTGGGATTTATCTACAATCATCTTGTTTAATTTCCATTTTCTTCTCCATTCTCATCTCAATTCTTTGGTTTTTCACTGAACCCATTCTCATTTTACTTCAACAAGATCCCCAAATCTCAAAAATAGCTGCTTTATACATCAAGTATCTTATCCCAGGTCTATTCGCCTATGGTGTTTTAAACAACATTTTGAGATTTCTCCAAACACAATCTATTGTAACCCCTTTAGTAATATGTTCACTAGTCCCATTAATTCTTCATATCGCTATTACTTATGCACTTGTACATTGGACTTCCTTATCTTTCATTGGAGCTCCAATTGCGGTTTCAATTTCATTATGGATTGCAGTGATTATGTTAGCGGGATATGTTCTTTTAAGTGAAAATTTTAAAGAAACGTGGCAAGGTTTTTCAATGGAGTGTTTTAGTTATGTTTTTACGAGTTTAAAGCTTGCTCTACCCTCTGCTGCTATGGTTTGGTTAGTTGTTCTTGAATTTTTTTTAAAGATTTGAGAATATATGAATACATGTTGCTTGTTTTGATCGAAGTTGAAATCTTTTTGTTGTTTTATTGAATCTTGTGCAGTTTAGAATATTGGGCTTTTGAGTTACTTGTGTTGTTAGCTGGGATTTTGCCAAATTCAGAAATAACTACTTCCCTCATCGCAATGTGGTAAGAATGAATGTCGTGACTCATGTCAATTAATTTAAGTGTTTGGATAAAACATAAAAGTGATAAATAATTTGGGTTAAAATGAAGTTGATAAGAAAAATTGACCAAAGGATGTTAAGAGTATAATACCAAGTAACCAACTTTTTAATACTTATTGAAAATGACTATATTTTGCGGAAAAAAAAATTCTCGAAATATGAAAATTACTTTTTTGTTACATTATATTTCACAAAACCCTTTTTCTGCAAAAATGATATAATTATTCGCGAGAAAAACATCGTTTTGTGAAAATGATGATACATTCGCAAATTAAAAAAACCACAAAAAGAATAATTTATAAAAGAAAAACGCGGGGTAATAAAAAATATGGTTGTACAAAAAAAAGGTTTATAGGAAAAGATTTTTTTAATGCAACATGTCCTTTTGAGTGATTTTTTAATACAAAGTGTCCTTTAACCTTCCAATGTAACCATATGTTATCATTATACTTTTAAAAAAATATATGTTTGGTTGTGAAAAATTTTCATGAAAATTTTCAACCGAAAATCAAAATTTTGAAAACACGCTTTAGTTAATTTAGTTTTCAAAAATTTCAAAAAAATAAAAAAAGTTTGTTTTCTAAATTATATGTAAATTAAAAAAATGATTTTTACAGTTTTTAAAGTTTTCTAAGATTTAAGATGGAAAATGAAAACTCCGCCTGTTCCAAAAAAATGCGTTTTCTAAAATTTGCATTAAAATCGAAAATAAAAAGTCAACTTTATTTTCTAAAAACATTTTCTTGAAAAATAAAAATAGTTTTCTACAGCCAAACGCATCTTAAATTTCCAATGTGTCCTTATTTATAAGATAAGAAGAAAAAACATTGATAGAAAATATATATATTAACACTTTTCAAAAAAAAAAAAACATTTTGCAAATCAACATTATTTTTTGCAAAAAATCAACTCATACTCGTGATCAAACTTGTAAATTACCCCAAACCACATACTCGTGATCAAACTTGTAAATTACCCCAAACCACACAGACGGTTTATGTAATTTACTCAATTTTTTATTGCAGTGTAAATACAGAAGCAATCGCATACATGGTTACATATGGCCTTAGTGCTGCTGCAAGGTTAGTTGCAACAATCTTCTTTAGCGACACTTTTAACTTAACCATAGTTAACGACTCTTTTTAACTTAACAGCACACGTGTGTCAAATGAGCTTGGAGCTAAAAATATCGATAAAGCTAAAGAGGCCATGGCTGTGACCATAAAGCTTTCTGTGATTCTTGCACTTGTCATTGTTTTAGCATTGGGATTTGGTCACAATATATGGGCGGGATTCTTTAGTAATAGTCGTGTGATTATAAACCAATTCGCTTCCATGACACCTTTTTTGATGATCTCAATCACTGTTGATTCAATCCAAGGAGTTTTATCAGGTTTGCATAAAGTATAAAAATAGTAAACAAAACATTTTTCATGTGTCCCATATAATAAATAATCAAGTAATTTACTTTTGTCCTTAGTATAGCTTTTGTTCAATTTTGGTTTTATTTATGGTTTTTGTCACGTTTTTTGTTCTTGTTCTAAGTATAATGATTATATTTTTTGGACCAATTTGCAAAAATTGTCTATATTCAAGGGCAAAAAATAATCATTTACTTGGAACAAGGACCAAAAACATTACAAAAGTTCTAATAAGGACCAAAATTGTAAAAATTAGTTAAGATTGTTACAAGAACCTTAAGGGCCAAAATTGCAAACTCGGCTAAACTCAAAGACCAAAATCAATCATTTACTATGAATATGGAACAAAAATGTTACAAGAATCTCAACATAATTTTCAAAATTGCAAAATAATCAACTATCTTGTGGGGCCAAAATAATCATTTTACTAAACTAAAACTTTTACAAGAAGAACCAACATTGCAAAATCAGCTACATTTGGGGACCAAATATAATCATTACCAAAATTTTTACAAGTACCTCTAATAAATAATAGAAACTTCATGGAATTATAAAAATTAGCAATATTTGGGAACGAAAAATTTAATTAATTTTAAATAATTTTGTAGGTGTAGCAAGGGGATGCGGTTGGCAGCATTTGGCTGTGTGTGTAAATTTGACAATGTTTTATCTTATTGGGATGCCGGTTGCTGTTGCCCTTGCCTTTTTAGTGAAACTATACGCAAAGGTGATATATTTGTCGCATAAAGTAGAAGATTTTTTATTTTTTTAATAATATTATTCGTGTCTAAAGCTATATTTATGAATATGTAGGGGCTGTGGTTAGGGTTGATATGCGGTCTCTCGTGTCAAACCGGTGGTTTGTTACTACTTATGTATCTCAAAAAATGGACGGAAGTGGAATTAAAGGATAACAACAGTTATGGCGACACAATTCTTGTTTGAACAAATATTTGTGTTTCTAGTTGAACTAAAAGGATGAAGAAAGTTTTATACAAAATTACAAACTCATGTTTATGATTTATTTGAATTGGAATTGATTGATTCACGTGTGGAAGAGTGAGAACACAAGTGGCGAGTGGGAAGAGAGTCAAAAGGGCAAATTATTTTAATCTTATTTACTAAGATTTAATCAAAATCAAAAAGCTTTCAGCTATGGTAAGAATTTTATAAATGACATCTGTGAATATGGTCAATATTTATATTCTATATCACCTTCTTAGGTGAATATATAAAGAAGGTGACAGGTAGAATGTAATCAATGCAAATAAACATTCCACATAAGTGGTATACACATAAATGTTACACACAATCTATCATAAAATGAGATTTACACAAGATCCTAAAAATATGTCATCCTCAAACGAAATGTCATAATTGATGCTCGACAGTCCTGTTGGGAATATTTTTTTAGAGCGTAGGGCAGATCAAGGCCTATGGGGGCATAGAAGCGTACTTGGAGTTGGACTCTTCTGAAAGAGACGACAACCTTCTTCATCTTCTACCTCATTGTCCGTGAGCCTATGCTCATCGGCTATTGTAAAGTAATATTTTTTTTTCATTAAATATTGTGATTATCTTAAACCATATGATAAGAAAGACATCTTTTGGATAAAGTCGATTGAAAAATCGTAATAGTTATAATGGCTTTTTGAAATAGCCAACCATAAAGTAATATTTAAAACAAAATAGCAAAGAGATAACACAAAGCCATTTACAAAGAGTTCATGAGATTTTAAAACAAATTTAACCTAACCAACAAACACTTATGGTTCTTATTAGTAAAGGATAAAATAAAAAATTTTAAAGACAATATCATTCTGAAATCTCAAAATGTACCGAATGTAAGGACACATAATCGCATCCACCACCTCTCTTTTTCAAATTCAAAGACACATCATCAAGAATGTTAAATAACTCTCGAACCGAATCAAAATCCATTCGATCAATATCAAGACACAAGAATACCACATCCCAAATTCTATCTGTCACTTCACGCCTAACAGAAAGATGATCAAGTTGCTCAACATGGAGCTCACAAATCAGGCATAACATCGAGGGAACATCCATATTCTTGTTTTCCAAATTACACCGAGTTGGGATTCAATCAAACAAAACACGGAAAATCATAATATTTACCTTTCTCGGAACAAACATATTCCATCTAGTCTCCATATGCAAAGAAGAAAAATCATATCATCGGTCCATCTCTTAGTATTTCTAACCGTGAAGGACCCATCATCTCAAATTTCCCATCACCGTCTGTCATCTTGATCGGTAAGAACCACATGTTGAATACATTCCAACAAACTTGAAAGTTGATGCAGTTCTTCACCCTCGTGAATATGATGCCGCCAAGAACCATACAAATCTTTATTCATTATTCTATTCGCAATCATACAATCTTTATCCAAATCTAACTCAAATAACATTGGGAATCTATTTGCCAAACTATCACCGTTCCATTGATGTTTTTCCAGAGCTTCATGGAAACATCATTACAAACTTTCCTCTTGATTACCGAATTCACCACCACCCTTTTATTTTGAAGTCGGGCGTTTGAAACCGAAAGACGAGCCCACTGCGTTGAACTATGTAACACCCATAGATTCAGGCTAGTCAATTTAGAAATAATAAGCGTTAAAAATAACATTTTGATAGAACATTATTTAGGATAAATAATCTTAACCAAGTTGTAGTATATGTGACAAGGATTTCGTATATATAAAGAACGTTGAAATCTGACTTCGTATGAAGAAGTTATGCTTCTTAGATGTTTTGCAATTAAACCGGCATGGCCTTGCGTATCGTAAAAAAGTGAATTTTTGATAAATTACTTTTTAGCCTAAGTGATCTAAATTAATGTCAAGGTAGTCGTAAAAACAAGAGCGTGTATATATATAACGTCAAAATCTGACTTCGTGAGAGGAAGTTATGATTCTCAAAGTTTCAGCGCAGCAGTGCGAATCTAAATCCTAATTGGTTGATTGTTAGCCGAAACAATCTAAACGAGTATTGAAGATCTCGTGAATATGAACTTGTCGATATAAAGATAGTCGAGAACGGAGTTCGTATGAAGAAGTTATGAATTTCGCACGGACTTTAATAGTCTAAACCGGTCTAAATATGAATTGTTGATAAAGCAAGAATTTGATGTTGAGACCTTAATGAAAGTTGTAGAGCTCGTCGAGAGGATTCTTGGGATATAAAGAACATTGAAAACAAAGCTCGTATGCTAAAGTTATGGCCTTCCAAAGATCTGCCAAAAACCGCCTACGGTGATGACGTGGCACCATGCGAGGGCGCCACATGGCAAGTTGGCCGCCCACCCCTCCATGAGTCAAGGTGATGTGGCACATTGTGGACATGACACGTGGCGCCACAAAAATGCGACACATATTCTAGAAGAAAGTAAGGTGGACACCTAGAATGATGACACGTGGAAAATATCTGATGGAGCCAACAAAACTTAGTGTCGCGGCGCACCTATGGTTGGTATGCGGCACACAAACCCCTGTTACTAACAAACACATGCCGAAGTTTTGCTCATTTACTCACCAAGTCCTTCATATATCTCTCTAATCTCTCTAGCTTTCGAGATATGTTTTCTTCCTAACATTTAGGAATATTTTAGTAGAGCCTCGGGAACTCTCGGAGCCCGACTAGAAAGAGTATTCGGGTCAAGATTCTTTCTGCGTATTTTCCCGGTTTTCGCTAAAACCTCTATAAGTTAAGCTACACTCTTTTGCTTTAGGTTTAACTTATATTTATAGTCATAATTCGTTATTATGAACCTATAAATAAGCTTTATCAATAATTCCATGTCGTTATATTGATTGATCTATTTACGGGAGAGGTTCTTAGAATGGTCATGTTGGCTTGGTTGTTGGACTTCAGAAATGCTATATGCTGAAATGGTCCTGCCTCCCAACTGCCCTGCTAAGTTGATCCTTACTTGATAGATATTGATGTAGACATTAGGATTAGTGAGGGTATAGACTATAATTATTATAGTCTCTAAGATTACAAAACTAGACTAAGGCTTAGTACTATATGTGTCTATGTCTTTTCAAAGTATGAAGCTAAGCGCTGCTGAAATCATCAGTCATCCACTTTTATCAAGTGAGTGCATAGTTACTTTCGTATTACAGATAGATATAAAGTATTTAGATAATTAAATGCTATGTGCGCCAATTATCTACGATATGTTTTGGATGAACTTATATGATATGATTTTACTCGATTTTATTATATAAGTATTT